CCCAACCCCCCTCTTGTTTTTGGTTAAACAACAAAAAACTTTTTTAACACAAATTTTTGAAAACGAAAAAAAAAAAAAAAAAAAAAGCAACATTTCCTTAAAGCTCTCGGAAAATTAGCAAATGGCTTTTAAAAAGGGATCTATACAACAACTATCTTCAGCTGCCTCATTGTTGGCATTTCAGACATCCTTCACCCTCTCTTGGGCCTGCTATATGTTGGCACAACACCCCCACATCCAGGAGCAAATCTACACAGAAGTCACACAAACTCTGGGACCTGGAGCTGTCCCCACAGCCGAAGACGTCCCTCGCCTGCCTCTCATCAGAGGGCTTGTGAAGGAGACTCTCAGGTACGTTCTGTTTAGCTTTTCGTAGCGCACACACATTGTTTTGATCTTGTTACACTGCAAACAAGAAGACATAAACAGTTCAGCAGTATTTTATTAGACTTTAAAACGTTGCTTACATTCTTGAGGAATCTTTACATGGACATGTTTTAGTTTGGTAACTTTCTTTCTCAGCTTTTCCTAGTCCTGTTTTCTAAGAGAAAGTCTTTATGAACAGCCTGGTGCAGTGTGTAGTGCTGCTGAATAACAGCCTTTGTATGTCTCTCCTGGGAGCAGGCTTTTTCCAGTTCTCCCAGGCAACGGCCGGATTACCCAGGATGACTTGGTGGTTGGTGGATACTTCATCCCCAAAGGGGTAAGATGCTTCTAGTGTGTGCATGTGCTGAAGGAAAACGTTTGAGCATGTCAGCCAAAAACATTAAACTAGAACCAGATGTAACATGATATAGCATTACTCCCACATCTCTTGTGCATAAATTCATGTACAATAGCCCATCTGTTTTCATTACACAACTTCCACTTTTTCTCCTTCAGACTCAGCTGGCCCTCTGTCACTACTCCACATCTCTGGATGAGGAGAACTTTCCCAGTCCCTTGGAATTCCAACCAGACCGCTGGGTACGGAAAGACACATCTGATCGCGTTGACAACTTTGGCTCGATTCCCTTTGGTTACGGCATCAGGAGCTGCATTGGCAGGAGAATCGCAGAGTTGGAGATGCATCTAGCTCTCACCAGGGTAGGGTATTTATTAACTCTTTGAGGATAAAATTTGTCTGAGTGTGCATAGTTGTAAGAGAAGTGTGTGTGTGATTAAAATGTTACATTTTAATTGCAGTTAATCACATGCATAGAACTTTGTTGTTACCTGAAATTTATTTCAAATTATTTTAAGGGGTTGACAATTTAGATTTTGCTAGAATTTATTTTAAAGAAAAGATCAATGTTTGGAAGAGTAGTTGGTATAATCTGAGGGTTTTTTGGGCATTGAGCAAGAAATTTACATGGGCATGTCAAACTAACAGATGCTTGTCAGTGAACCCATTGAAAAGCAAATCTCTACTATCTAAATAATCACTCTTGCATTCACAGTTTTCTCAGTCAAACTCTATTCATGTTGTTATGCTACCAAAAATACTGAAGTATCCTTTTACTAATCAATAATTTGTAAAGTCTCTTTAACATTTTGTTAAAGATTATTCCTTAGTGGATATACTATCTCTCTAAAAAAGGGAATTGGACTAAAGAAATTAAGGCAGAAGGGTCTTCCTGGATGTTTTTGCGTATTTAGCCTGTAAAGGTGCCTTATTGTGGAAAGATCCATGCAGCAAGGGGTTAGGAGACAGGAGTCCTCTAACTCGCCTGGTCATAGTAAAGTATGACAAACTACCTGGCAGATAAAACAAAACAGTTTTTTATTTTATTTTATGGCATCATTGAGTTGTAGCATTTGCTACTTCAAATTGGATTTTCACAAAAAGGCCCTCTACTTCTCTGTTGTCAAAAAGCTGTTGCAATCTCATGTTTAACCTTCAACCTTAATGTCCTATAATTTTAGCCATTTGAAATAAGTCTTGTTTTGTTTTTGTTTTTTGCCTTGTTTGCAGCTCATTCAGAAGTTCTACATTGGGATGTCTCCTCTCACTACTGATGTCAAGGCTAAAACTCACGGTCTGCTCTGCCCTGGTGCTCCCATCAACCTGCAGTTCATTGAAAGGGAAAACTAGGTCCAGCCTGTCCTCTATAAGGTCTTTCCCAGATGTTCGACTGGGTGCTTGTCATTCTTGGAGCACTTAAATACACTGCTTTTAGAGTTTCTACTCAGGCCAGGAATGTGTCTTACATGTTTGTCATGACACAGAAACACTGTGCATATTGTTAACTATAAAGATTGTTTGTTGAATGTATGTCAACAGAGGGAACCACTGCAGCCCTTTTTTATTTGACTGTTACTTTTTTTTACCCATCTTGTTAAAATTGATGTGTGTGGAAAATAATTTTTGTCAGTACTGTAACTCCTCATATTAATGTTTCTTGTTGTATATGTGCACACATTATATTGTGTGCCATTTTCACTCTTTTTTTTTTTTCCCCTCCTTGTCCGAGAAAGCAATTTACAGAGATTATGAAGGGCAGCTGTTAAATGTTTTGAAAATGAGCTGTTTAGCTAAGGTGAGGCAAGCTTTACTTAATAATTATGTTGTTTGTTTCGAACCAAAATATTGGAACTGGTTGCTTTTTCTGGGGTGGCACAGTTTGTCTTTGTTTGAGTTGTTTTTTTCATACTGAGTAAAAGTTATTACCTGTACTGTATATCAACACATCAAATACACACAAAAAATCATTTCAATGTAAACTTGTATTAAGTATAGTTTTTTTTTTTTTAAATAGTGCTAGTTAAATGTTTAAGAAATGATATAATGAATCACAAAGGTAAGTATTTAAAATATTTCTTTTGCTAATTTAATACATATTTGTTTTGCAGAATGTAAGTGGGTTACAGAATGTCTTTAGCATATTTGGTTTAAGTGCTGCTGGTGTGAAAGGATTCCATCAACGTTTTCTTTTTAAGAGGGTAAATGTATGTCGGGGATGGTTTGATGCTAAGAAAAATGACATGTTAAAAAAAGGAAATGCTATTTGGCTGGGTGGCACATTGAAACCCTTTTTTAAATTGACTTGTATGTAATTAACTTTTGTCTGTAGTATGAGTTGAAAACAATAAAAACTGAATTTTATGCTAAAGCACAACAAACTGTCTTTTGTGGAACTTTTTACCTTTGTATTACTTCAGTGATGGGTTGTTGTGAGTTGGTCTGCATTATATAAACAATCCAAATCCACTTTTAAAAGCACTTAATGTTTAACCAAAGTGCTGTACAGTATTAACAGACTTAAGCATAAAACATAAAAACAAAACAAGAGCAGAATAAAGACAAACTATAGTAAAATAATATACGATGGCACATTTGGCAGCCACAGTCAACAGATATTGATGCATGTAGGTGTACTTTCTGCATATAAATACTGCCTACTTGTTATAGAGAAAGTCGAATAGGAAGTGAAATGATAGACAAAGTGAACACATAAACTAAACAAAAAAAAATGAATAGGCACCAAAAGAATGGACTATTCCCAAATTGCATCAATAACTACCATATTTACTCTTGAAAGTAATGGACTACACACCAACAAAAAAAATGTCACATGCCATTTAAAATCTACTGTATTTTCTGTCAACTATGCTAAAACATTTTTTTACACGAAATAAGTCATACCTTCTAGTAATTAAATATAAGCCCCACTGAGTTAAGTTTGAAAACATTGAACATTCGAATATTATGTTCCAATATTAGTATTACTGAAAAGTTATTTTATTTCAGTAACTGAATGCACAAAGTGAAACACTTATGCCTTTATTTCTGGCAACTATGAGCATTTCTTGCTTCGTTTATGAAAACACAATATTTAAACTTATAAATCCTGACTAATTAAAAATATATCTAAAAAGTACGCACTTTAATGAAAAGTATGTGAACGCCAACTTAAAAGGTTATTTTCAAAAGGTACGTTTATCTGACAAGCCAGCCTCATAGGAACACATATTCTAATAGAATATGAACGTATGCTAACTTACTCTCCTACCGAAATATGTTTTGTAGGAGACTGAGATTTAACTTTTTATGGCAGTTGTATGATAAAAGCATTTCTTTTAACATGGTTCTGCATTGCTAACGCAAATGAAGACAACTACACTTTGCAGAAAAAAAAAAGACTCACAAATCAATGGCACGGACAAATCTCCATCTCGCGATTTCTCCAGAATTTTGTGAACGCGAATACGAGCGGAAGTAAATACTCGAAGGCGAAGTAGCATCTAAACGTGGATGCCACTTTATTTTAGCAGATTAAAAAGCAGCCATAAATTACGGCTTTGATTAGTTAATCGGTACAGTTAGTCATTTTGCTCTCTTTGCATTTTAATAGTAATTTCGTTGGTCCCGAAATAGTTTTTGTGCGCATTTAGGGCCTGGAGAGACACATATGCTAAGACAACTAAGCTATCGAACGTTATCGCGGTAAGTTAGCTTAGGGCGCTGTTAGCATCAAGGTTTCTGAATGCCAGCAGGTGAACTGGAAAGTTTGACTGGTTTATGCGGGTCCTTCTTTTAAACGGATAAGTAGCCTCGATTTAGCAAGCCTCAGGTCGGGCCGTGGTGGAGGGAAAGTTCAGGTGGATTAAAGATGTTAATTGATAACCTCGATGCTTTAAAAACATGGCTGTCTGAAACCCTGGAGCCCATGTAAGTACTGTTAGCATTGTTAGCCACGCACATTAACTCTGACCACGCAGATGCGAATTACAGATCACATCAGTTCGTAATTGTACTTATTGATTGCACTTATTTTATTTTTATTTATGGACGTGAAGTATCCAAACCGTTTTCAGTGTATTAATACAGCTGTTTCCATATTCACGTGTACCCACTCTTTCCCATTCTGACATCCAGTTGTGATGCTGACCCCTCTGCTCTCGCAAAATATGTTGTTGCTCTGGTGAAGAAGGACAAAAGTGAAAAGGAACTGAAAGCCCTGTGTATTGACCAATTGGATGTTTTTCTGCAAAAAGGTTAGAGCTTTGTGTAGTAGATTTCATAATACTTTACAAACTGGGAGCCATTTGACAACAGACAGAAACAAATACATTAATTTTCAACTTTCTTTCAGAGACCCAGCCATTTGTGGATAAGCTCTTCGAAGCCATCAGCAACAAAAGCTACCTCCCACTGCCAGAACAACCACAAGTCAAAGTTGAGAAGGAAGAGCAGAGGAAAGATGAGGTTATTTTTTTTCTTCTCCAATCCAATATAATCACTATTCACATTAACACTTTTTAAATATTTTAGGAATGCACTGGGGTGCACTGGTTGCAGGTGTCTGGCTGATCATCGATTTTTAAGAAGCCTGATCTGCTGATTTCAGTTTTGATAAGTTTACATGCAAACACCAGAGATCTAATCCAGTACTTTCAAACAATGACAGTTAGTCATGTAGTGATCTCAACCTACCTTTTTTGGCTTGTGAACTTGAATAGTGTTCTCGGCTTGTAAAAAGATGATCCTCAAAATGTGCAACATTTAGATAACATTCAGCTGACGTCCTGCTATGGAACTAATAAGATATGTTTGTCATTGAAACACTGATCCTTAAGGTTTGTGGAAACTGGTAGCAATTGACAAATAATTTTTGTAACCTATTTAGGTATTTTTACTAATGCAACGTCTTTTTGCCTTTTTCCTGTCTGTAGTGCAAATACAAACAACCTATGTTTACGTAGCAAATTCTTCTGTTTTGCCAGATTGTTTTGGTCGTGAATGTTTTGCAGATTTTGTGCTTTATAGCTGACAGGATGAGACATTTCTACATTACTTGACCTTTATTTCTCCTGTTCAGATACAAACGAATCGTGAAGAAGAAAAAGACAAGAAATTTCCTCGCCGGGTAAATCACAGTCCTCTTCAATCAAGCTCACGCTACGGCAGAGATGGCAGGTGCGTACGCTGTAAGGTTGTACAACTCTGTCTTCTTCGCATAGAGTTCTCTTACGACTTAAGGTTTGCCATTATTAATGTCGTTAGGCGAGGTGATGACCGCAAGAGAGACGATCGCTCCAGGAAGAGAGACTACGATCGTATGCCACCAAGGAGGGACTCTTACCGTGACCGCTACAACCGCAGAAGAGGCCGCAGCTACAGTCCCAGCCGAAGTCGCAGCCGAAGTTGGAGCAAAGAGCGCATCCGAGACCGTGACAGAGAGAGGGAAAGAGACCGAGAAAGGGACAGGGACAGAGACAGAGATCGTGACCGCAGTAGGAGCCGGTCTTTAAGCAGAACCCGGTCCAGAAGCAGGAGCCGAGGTAGGAATATAGACTTTAAAAACACCTCTAAGAATGTGTTTTTTCATTGTAATGTCATGTTGATTTTACTGGTTAATCAAATGTTTTGGTTTTTGAAGATTTTATTCTTGGAAAATTTTTATTTATTTTTTTTATTTATTTTTTTTTTTTTCCTTCTCCAAATCACTTCTTGGGTTTCCATAGTGATGTCAGTGCACCAAAGGCCAACCATCTTGTTTGAAAAATTTGATCTACAGCTCCTATATACCTGGGCTTTGAATTCAGATCAACAATGGAATATTAGGGCCAGGTTAAGATTCATTTCGTTTTTTTTTTTTTTTAGTAACAAGAATAAAGTCATAACATTTCAAGAATATAAAGTCGTATTTTATGAAAAGTCGAACACAAAAAATAAAATGAAGAATGTTGAGTATCTTGTAAAGTTATATACTCTGGTATAAGTTTTAGAAATAATACTTTATAAATATACCACATTTTTTAACACATCAGCATCATATTATCAATAGGACTTTGAAACAATCATGCAAACCACTGTGTCTATTTCAAAGGAAAAGCTTCACGAGTTGTTTAAGTCAGATCTTTGTAACTATTCAAGCTTTTATCTTATAATTTTAAGATGTTTTTTTCTGTTAAAGCTGCACTTTCATTTTGCTATTATTGTGACTATATTCTCATAAATAAACATTCTCATAACCAGGCCCTAATACTCCGTTGTACAACTCAAAGAAGCTATGATTGAGACACTCTTTGAAAATATTTTCTGTCATTTGTAATTTCATATTTTAGAAAGGGAAATTAGAAAAAAGTAGATCAAAATCAGAACTTAGGTCTGGTATAAAAAAAAAAAGAAAAAAAAAAATATTTTATTTCTAAGTCATATTGCCCAGCCCTGCACTGGTAATTTCAGTCGGTAAACATTTGCATCCTAGAAGTGATTTTCTAAATGGGTACGGTTGTGTTTCCACAGACAGAGAATCAGGGAAGCTGAAGTATGACCATGAGCGCGCTGACAGGCCAGAGAGCGCTGACGTCTACACCCCAGCGGTGCTCGTTTCTACTGCAACACCTTCCCACTTCCCCAACCCGACAGTGAGCAGCACCATTACCGTCATCGCCCCGACTCACCATCACACCACCACCAACGAGAGCTGGTCAGACTTTCGTCCCGAGCCCCCTGTGGATCGTGGACCTTTCAATCGTGGTCCACCTCTTCAAAGGAAACGGTGTAGGGACTATGATGGTAGGAAAGCCACTTTACTTATTTTCTTTCTATAATTTAATCTGTGACAATTGTTTTTTTTTTTCTTGTAGTTTGATGATTACTGTGTTTTGCAGAAAAGGGCTTATGCATGCGAGGGGACATGTGTCCGTTTGATCATGGGAGTGATCCAGTCGTCGTGGAGGACGTCAATCTGCCCAGTATTTTGCCCTTCCAGCCTCCACCAATCCCTGGCGTGGACCAACCACCCCCACCAGGCCTTCCACCCCCACCACCATTAATGAACCCCCCACCTGTAAACCTTCGACCCCCGGTGCCCCCGCCAGGGGCCCTTCCACCGAGTCTTCCTCCGGTTGCAGGTAGGAATTGGGATTATTTTTGAGAAATTTGTTTGGATTTACATACTTGAATCCAAAGGCTGAATTACTTCCTCGACATGCAGCAAAAATAAGATTGTGTAATAACTTCTTTTCTTTTTTAAACAATAGCTTGAAGTACACATGCATTCAGTCAGTAGAATGTTTTTTATTCACATTTCTTTTGTTTGTATTTGTATGAATAAGAGATCTAAAAGTTTATGCTGAGATGCACACACCAGCATTCACCATAACCACA